CTACTCAGTTCCTCAGACATGAGTCCACAGTGCCCGTGCCTGATCTGCTGACACCTGCAAGGCACGTCTCCCGCTGAGCGCCATGTGTCCCACAAGCCCCACGTGTCCCACCGAATGCACTCTGTGTCATTGAGTTTCCCTCTGCTTTGCCCTGGACCCGGCCGGCCCATGCTGCCACTGAGTGCTCCTCAAGTGCTGAGTGATGTCAGCCGCGGCCACCCATGGGCCGCTTCTCCAGGGCTCCCAGGGCCCTGAGCAGGTGCTCCAGCTCCCGCCCTGTGGCCCAATGCCTCAGTGACTCTCTGTTTATCCTCATCTCTCCAGGATCAAAGGGTTGGGTCCTTTGGGTTCCCCTTCGCTGTGCCCCCATGGCCGAGATGAATCCGGATGGGCACTCCGGCAGCCCAGCTCCCTCGGGTCAGGTAGCAATGTCCCATGTGAGCCATCTCCTGCTGTCAGAAGAGACAGGGAACTTCTGGAAGTTTGGGGAAAAGAGAATTAAAACCATGAGTTTCTGCCAGGTTTTTGTTGTTGTTTGTAGCAGGTGGACAGTATTTGTCAGGTCAAGCAAGGATTAGAGAAAGAGAAGAAATTCCACTTTACACAGTTCCAAATATGACAGCTGTTAAAGTGATTTCAAAGCAAACGTCATGAAAGAGGCCGCTCCCAGGCTGGCTTTCCTGGGCCTCTTCCGGGGCTCCTGGTGGCAGGGGGCTCTCAGATCCTGGGGGACAGGCACAGGTGGGAAATCCCCATCATCCACCGGCAGGCCTGGGACCTGGCACAGCTTGGTGCATGGTAGCACCCTGACAGAAGCTTCTGGAACAGTGTGCTGTGATCTCTAACGTGGTCCACGGTTGGGAGGCTCGGCGAGCCTCATCTGAGTCATGTGACTCCTTCGTCTCTATTCACCTTATTCCTGGCGGACAGCTTGCTGCTGGCATGAGCCCTTGCTGGCTGCACACGGCTCGGACACCACAGGGCTCGACTGACCCCAAGTGAAGGCGAGTACGTCCTGGCTGGAGCCTTCCCAATCCAGTGCAGATGAAGGCAGTGGTGTCTGGGGCGGTGCAGCCTGGGGTGCAGTGGGTGGCAGGCGTGGGCTCCCACCATTGGGGCCGTGCGTACCTCCTCTCTGCAGCCTTTGCCCCGTGCCCTGATGGCTCCCTTGCGGCTCATCCGCTCTGCAGCTGTGGGTCAGGTGTCCGGAACATTAGGAACACACAATGACCAGCATCCAGACATGAAATCAGGCTGTGTAAATGACCAGCGTGATGCAGCGGCCCCGTGGTCCCTTGGGGAAACTGGACCAAGACAGGGTGGAGTGAAGTAAGGGTGCTGGGCACAGGTGCCCAAGGACTTGAGCCACTCTCCCAGGATATCAGCAGGGAGTTGGAGCAGAAGTGGTGCAGCCAGGATTTGAACCGGTGCCCCCTTGGGATGCCAGCACTGCCGGTCCCTGTCCTCCAACTTTCTGTACCATGGGAGGAACTGTGAAGGAGGAAGCAAGCCCTCAGACCTCAGCTAGCACCCTGCATGAAGCTGTGAGGTGCCTGGGGCCACGCGCTGAGCTGGGACAGCTGGCCGGGGATAGCCAGGAAAGTGGGTGGCACAGGCGTTTAGAACACTGTCTTCTTCGCCAGCTCCTGGGACGTTATGGGAGCCTGAGCAGGTGCGTACATGGCAGGTGAGGGTGGGGGACAGGAAAGGCACTGGCGAGCTGCCCTGCTTCAAAGAGGTGCTACTGGTGTGAGGCAGTCTGCTGTTGTAACAGGGGCTCCCTTCTTTCGTTCGCTCAGCAACACATACTGAAGAACCTGCCCATTTAGTAAATGAGCAAAACCGACTCAGCCCCTGACCTGCATGAGGCTTCCGGTCCAGTGAAGACACAGCTTCCGCTGGGGCTGGCACTGTGGCACAGATGGTTAAACCACTGCTTGGGTCACGTATATCAGGTTGGAGCTCCGGCTACTCTGTGTGTGAGGCAGCTGGGCAGCAGCATGTGGTGGCACGAGTCCATGGCAGCTGCCACCCATGGGGGGGGACCTGGTTGGAGCTCCTGGCTCTTGGCTTCCACCCAGCCCAGCCCTAGCACAGTGGCCACCTGGGGAATGAACCATTGGGTAGATCTGTCTGTCTGTCTGTCTCTCTCTCCCTCAGTTCCTCCCTCTGTGTAAGTCTGCCTTTCAAGTATATTATCAGATAAAGCAGTCACCGACACAGGTAAAAGCTACAAGAGGGAAGTGGCGGGCGTGAAGGGAACGTTCACGCGTGCAGTTTGCCATCGGGGAGTGTAGAGTGATGACTGGGGCACCACGCAGAGGGGAGCAGTGTGTGGGCGCCTCACAAGGCAGCCTGCCATGGCACAGCCACTGCTGGAGATGGGGGGCAGGGGCTGCTAGGGTCCCCTGGCAGTGTTTGCTGAACCTTGTGGCAATGTTGAATTTTGACAGTACTTTCTATAACCTGGTCCTGGCTCTTCCTGGGGATGCCCCTCATCTGCCCAACAAGGATTAGTAGCTACTTGAGCACCCCTGTGTCCTGAGCACAGAGTGCAACCAGGGCACAGTCTGGGGGCACCCCCACCTCTGCCTTGTGGGCTACTGGAAAGAAAGCTGGGCTTCAGCACCCTCGGGGCACTCAGGAGCAGTGCTGAGTGCCAGGCGGCTGGCATGGCTCTCCAGTGGAGCCTGTGCCAGGGCACGGAGGGTTGACACAGTGGATGCTGGCTGGCAAGGCAGGGGAGCTTGAAGATGTGTTTCAGGCATTCACTCTGGCCACTTGGGACGGGTGAGGAGTAGGTACAGAGGCCAGGCTGGCACAGGTCAAAGGGAGCATTCCTGGGGCTGCCATGCAGGACAGTCAGGCGGGAGAACTGGGGAGGCCAGGAGGCTGGGGGTGCTGCAGGCCCAGGGCCCCCATGACCAATGCAGGTATAGCGATAGAGAGCAGCCCCTGAGCTGCGCAGTCTGTGGGGCAGTGTGCAGGGCTGGCCGCTGGATGCTCCTGAGCCACCTTCAGGGGGTCCCCGACTGCATCACATGTCAGGGAGCCCAGCACTGGGGTTGGTGTTGGCTTGAAAGTGGAAGTGGCATAGAATGCTAGTAGATTTAAATGCATCATGTTGTCAGTAACTGCTGAGAAGCCCACGAAGTTGAGATGTGGCATGAGCACAGAATATACGCATCATTGTTATGGCTCAGTCCCATTAATGATACTTCACATGGTTCATGTGTTGAACTGTTTTTTGACATATTAGGTTAAATGAAATATTTAATATTTCACCACCTTGGGCCTGGTGTGGTGCTCAGCAGCTGGATCCTCCCCATGTGGGTACCAGTTCATATTCCAGCTGCTCCACTTCCCTTCCAGCTCTCTGCTTGTGGCCTGGGAAAGCAATATAGAGGATGGACCAAAGCCTTGAGACCCTGTACCCGTATGGGAGACTCGGAAGAGACTCCTGGCTCCTGGCTTTGGATCAGCTCAGCTCCAGTTGTGGCCAGTTGGGGAGTGAACCAACAGATGGAAGATCTTCCCATGTCTCCTCCTCTCTATGGATCTGATCTACCTTTTCAATAGGAATGAATAAATATTTAAAAACAATCCACCAACTTTTGAGTCATTCTGTAAAATTTCATTATGTTTGTGATTCAAGTCTCTTTTCCCTGGCACGGTTGGAGCATTGATTATTAAAAATATACGTATTTATTAATTCGAAAGGCAGAGTTGCCGAGAGATAGAGGGAGAGAGGCTTCCATCTGCTGGTTCCCTCTGAGTGGCCAGGGCCGGGCCAGGACTTCCCCTGGCTCTCCCACGGTGGGTGACAGAGGCCCAGGCTGTTGGGCTAGCTTCTGCTGCCTTTCCCGGGCTGTTAACTGGGTGGATAGATCAGAAATGGAGCAGCCAGGATTCCAGCAGTGGAAGCTTCGCCCACTGGCTGCTCTTGCCAGCTGTGCAGTATTGTGTGGCTTAGCTGCCCTCTGTGGACACCTGTTTCCGAGCTTGTGGGACGAAGGCGGTTCCAGGACACAGGCCTGCATCCGAGTGGTCTGTGAAGTAAGTGACCACCTGCGGGCTGCTGGCTGCGGGGAGGAATCAGCGTCTGCGTGTTTGTACTGCACTGCACCCGCAGGGGAGCGCGCCAGTGGGACCTGCAGTGGCCGGTATTAATCAATTTCTATTACATTGATCACCAGCACTAAGGGTGCAAATCCTGGGGGGTTCATAAATTATGAATCCTTTTCTGTTAGAACAAAAAGGCAGAGAAAATTTATCAATGATAAGAATCTTAGAATCAGCATCACTGGATTTTTGTTTTTTTAATAAATGAAGGCATTGGAGAGTGAAGCCACACTGCTTCGCCTGGATTTTGGTTTCTGGGTGGGCGGCCACTACAGGCGCACTCCGGTTTGGGAAGGGGGGTTCTGTGAGGACCGAGTGACAGGGGCATCCGGGGCAGAGGGATTTCTGCATCTGTGGCTGCAGAGCCAGGGCTCCAGTCCCTGTGTGCCAGACAATGCCTCCGTGGACCGCCTGGGCTGGGCGGGCTCCTGGCCCTGAACTGCTGCCGCCTCCGGTGTCCCCTCCACTGGCTTACCCACCTGCTTTGAGACTTGATCACCCCCAACCCGTGCCTTTGTTGCTGTTTGAGATGGAAAGAGAGGATGAGGAGCAGTCTGCAGACGCAGTTTGAGTGTGGGTCTCAGGCAGAGCCACATGTCCACATGGCCACCGTGGACGGCCGGGGAAGGGAATGGGTCAGGATGGCCAGGCCCTCCTCCTGCAGGAATAGCAGTTAGGTTTTGGCAAATCTCCAAGGCGGAGGTGCGTTTTACAGTGGACAGGAGGACTGGTCACTGTGCGTTCTGTTGGTTCCTCAGTTGAGCAGGTGGGTGTCACAGGTGCCTGCTCCCGCCCCCGCCCCACGTGCAGTCACCTGCAATGGCCACGGCTGGGTCCCTCCCTGCGGCCGCTGACCTGGCCCTGTGGTTTTGTTTCAGGAAGGGTTCTCACTCATTGGCGGCCAGAGCTGGTTGAAGATTGTGAGACGTGTGGACTGTCTGCTCTTTGGAACCACGGTAAAGGCAAGCTTACACGCGCTGCTACCTGCCCTTCTGTACCTGGAGGGGTGGGGCTGGGAGAGGCGCCCTCCCCGGAGGACACGTGGGGAAGACACGCGTGTCCAGCAGAGTTTGCATCCTGAGCCACACACAGACCCAGGGCTGTGGGGAGACAGCCTGGGCGGGTGGTGGAGGCTGAAGGAGCTGACTGAGCTGCAGGGACCCCCCCCCCCCGGCTGGCATACCTGCGATTCCCAGGGCTGCCCTGGGTTTGTCTTCTGCAGCTTTTTATTTTCCTCTTGAACATTAAAAACTGAAAATTGTTTGCTCTGCAGCTGGGTTAAACCTGGAGCTGGGGCACTTGCTCCCAGTCTTGCTGTGTGAAGCTGGCTGAGCAGAAACCAGGACGCCCGGGTAATTGCTGCTACGCCTGAGGTGTCCCCACCTGCAGCATCCCCGGCCCTGCTGCCAGCACGGGCATCGTGTCTGGGGGAGGGGGACACCCGGTCCTAGGCGGCTGAGAACACACCGGGTACATGGCAGTCCCATGCACCCCACTCCGTGGGCGGAGCGTGAGTCAGGTCCCACCCTGCTGTGCAGGCTTTGGCTTCTCTTGGGTCTAACTGCAGCTTCCACCCATGAAGGGTGAAGTAATGACTGCAGTGTGCACCCGGCTGCCTTTCGGAGAGGGTGCCACAGCCGGCAGGTACCTGGGCGCAGGTTGGAGCCCATCTGCGGTCCCTTGTGCAAAGCACGCCCCTCACTGCCAGTCATCCTGGGAGGGTCTGCCTCGTACGCCCGTTCCGTGGCCTATGAGGGAATCCCAGGGCAGCCGGCCGGTCCCTGCGGGGTGGGATGCAGGCACGAAGACTGTGGCAGGGACCATCTGTGACAGTGGGGGCCTGGTTGTCCTATGTATCTGTTGTATGATTCCCCACCAGGAACATAGTACCGAGTCATCTTTATTGGGAAAGTGGAGACACACACAGATGTGTCCCTCGGCCTCTGGTTCACCATCCGCCCCCTCCTCCACTGCAAGAGGCTGGCCAGGGCCAGGGTCAGGTGGAGGCCGGAGTTGGGCCCTCAGCCAGTTCTCCCACACATGTGGCAAAAAGTGCTGCCTCCCCTATGGGGTAGCAGAAGCTGGGATCCAGAATAGAGCTCGATTTAAACCCAGGCGCTGTGACACGGGTAGATCTCCTGCAAGGGGTCAGCTGGCATGGTCCTTGGCACCTGGGGGACCGAGGTGCTCCGCCCATGGGTGTTCATGTCCCACACTCAAAATGGCCGGGTCCCTGTGCCTGGCCCCCACGCATGGTGCCCCAGCCACTGTGCCATGTGCGCAGGGAGCGGTGAGAGCGATGGTCCTGTACGAGTCTGCCGTGCCACGGCGACAGGGCACCAGCGGTGTACGTGTGACCTCCCCTCAAGAATGGCATTCCTTCAAGTTCTAGCTACTTCTTATGTTTAAGTTCAGTCTCCTTTTAAACAAGATAAGGTAATTTCTGTTGATTTTTTTTTTAAAGAAACTAAAAAAATTTTTTTTGAAAGGCAGATATACAGAGAGGAGGAGAGACAGAAAGATCTTCCATCCGTTGGTTCACTCCCCAAGCGGCCGCAATGGCCGGAGCTGAGCCAATCTGAAGCCAGGAGCCTCTTCCGGGTCTCCCACGTGGGTGCAGGGTCCCAAGGCTTTGGGCCGTCCTCCTCGACTGCTTTCCCAGGCACAGGCAGGGAGCTGGAAGGAGCTAAAGTAGAGCAGCTGGGAAACCAGATAGAGCCCATATGGAATCCCAGTGCATGCCAGGCAAAGATTTAGCCGTTAGGCCATTATACTGAGCCCAGGAAATTAATTTTATAATCTCAAAGCAGCAACTTACATTTTTTTTTTCTAACCACTTTCCCCACCTTGCCAAACAGTGCTGCCCTCCCAGGGCAGTGAGGCCCTGTGTATGCTGCTCAGACTCCCCCCTCCACTCATTGTTTGCTATAGCCAGTGCTGGGGTACAGGGAAGGGGCCCCGTGCACACAGCACAACCTGCCCGTGAAAACCTTGTGGCTGTGGAGGGGACCTGGGCGTGCGTGGGTCACATGTGTGCCCATCACGTTTGGCCCCATGGAAAGTCCACTGAAGTAGGAATGCAGCCTGTGGGGGCGGGGCCGTCTTGCTCCACCGCATGACACCCCCACATCTCCCTCTTCTCTGACCTGATCCCCGGCTTTGCAGGATGCATCTGTGTGGCCTTGACGAGGACCAGGCACGTAGCAGTCGCAATGTGTGTCCCACATGCCTTGCTCGGCCACTGTGAACCACGAAAGGCCTGCCCTTCCTTGGCAGTACTGATGAGCGAGTGCTGGCATAAAGCAGGCCCGGGGTCTCGGTGGCGCTGCCGCCAGTGTAGCACCCTTCCTTCCTTACCAGTGTCTGCACCACAGGTGAGGCTGCTGGCCCCGGGCCTGACTCTGATCTGCCCCACAGAACAAGAGCCGCATGTTCCGGGTGCAGTTTGCCGGCGAGTCCAGGGAGCAGGCGCTGGCCAACTGCTGCAGCTGCACACAGAGCCTGGCCCAGTATGTGCCCGTGGACCTGCCCGGCCCTGTGCTGCTGGCAGGGGACAGCCAGGACGACGATGGCCTGGAGTGCAGGCCGCCTCAGCAGGCAGTAAGTAGCCATGGGCATGCCGAGGGCGTCTTCCCCAGGCCTGCAGGTGACCGGGATGCTAGCTCAACTCTGGTCATGTCATGTCAGCCCTGAGCCACTAGATGGAGGCCAAGCATGAGGCAGGGGGCTCTCAAGGTGTGGCCCAAGGACCCATGCAGTGCCGACGGGCTTTCACAGCTCCGGGCACACACTGTCCTCTCACTGTGCCGGCACCTGGGCAGCTCAGTGGGATCAGCTCCGGTAGCTGACACCAGAGCTAACACGGGCACAGTCCTGGGGCCCCCACGGCCCCCCGGCCAGGCTGTGGGCTCACTTGGGGGTGGGGGTGAGGGTGGGGAACAAAGCCAGTCTTCCACTGCAAGAGTGACAGCATGTGCCAGCCTGTGAGGGAAACTAAGATCCTAGACCACCTGTGCCTGCCATGTGCGTGCCCTGCCACGGGGAGAGACACACAGCCCAAGGCGCTGTGTGCAGATGCAGGCACAGCTGCATGGCCAGGGTCAGTGCTGTAGCTAGCTGCCTTCAGCCTCAGCATGCTAGCCAGCCCGGCAGTAGCCATCGCTGTCAGGGTTGGGTGGCAGGGCATGCCCACGGCTTTCTGTGAAAGTGAGGATGCCTCCGAGTGTGGCTATGGGCAGGATGCTGGGGGTGGCAGCTGGCATGCAGCAGCCTGCGTGTGGCTCTGTCCTCGTCTGAGAAAGGCTGTTTCCAGGCTCCCTCCCAGCCCCGGGGCTGGCAGCCCCTCCGCCCACCCCACCCGGGCTCTGTTAGTTCTGCTGTGGGCAGGTGACTCCCCAAAACTGGTTCCCCGCTCCCTGTGCCCCAGTGTCTCCCTTAACCAAAACCACTCACATACCCAGTTTCGTCACCAGCGCCGAGGATCTGACCCAGGTGAACGTGGGTTCACATTGTCTCTGTGAGCGGGCACCACGCAGCTTCCTGCGGGATGTGCTGTTTGCCAAACAGACTTGGTGCTTTGGGCAGGGAGCACTCCTTCCTCCCCGGCCACAGGCCTCTCGAGGCCCAGTTGCGGGTCCACACACTGCACACATCTGTGCCGGGCCCTGGGCAGCCTGCCATGGGTGCTTCAGACGAGGAAGGCAGGGCATTCCTGGCACACGTGGCAGAGCCAGGGCCCCACCCTGTGAGGGCAGGGAGAGGCTCCCTCAGCCCTGGATTCAAAGGCTGTTCCTAGGTAGCTAGCTTGGCAAACCCTAAAAAGTGACAGAAAACCTGTCTTTTTCAACAGCCAAGCCCAGGAGCCTCTCCTAGGTCTCCCATGTGGGTGCAGAAGCCCAAGAACTTGGGCTGTGGGTGATGGGGTCACCTCCTTACCCCTCCCCTCCCCGGCCTTTCCTGGTCTCCACCGACATCTGAGTGGACTCAGCCACACAGCATGGCCCAAGACCTTGGTCACTGGCATTGAGGTGGATCTAGGTTGGACTCATGGGCCTGTTTCCCTGGGGCTGGGACCTTGGGCCAGGAGGGCAAGGCTGGGGCACAGCAGAGCATGCCCAGCCCCACACCCACCCTGCAGGACACAGGTGGCATCATCCCTGACTGTGCTGGGTGCCATTGTCTTCCTCATGTAGGGCAGCTTCCATTGGGGCACACCCGGGAGCCCCGTGGGCACAGCCCTCTGGCCGGGTCCAATGGCCTCAGCGCGAGGTTGGGGTGTCGCTCCTGGGCTGGGGCGAACTCGGGCCTCCCGCTGAGCTCCTGTACCCAGGCATGTCACTTCCCAGTCCCCACCACTCCCTTTCCAGGTACACTTCATCCCACCTTACTTTGAGTTCTTCCTGGCTCATACTTCTGTTCTCACTTCTCTGCAGGTGTTTCTCAGCTGAGGGGCTTCCAAGGCAACCTCACTTCCTGCCCACCAGCCCACCCCCAGCAGGGGTAGAAGGGCAGGGGCAGAGGTGTGGCTCCCGTGTGCAGTGCTCACCATGCCCAGAGCTGAGGCTGGGCCCACATGGCAGCTATGCTGTGGTGCAATTCTGGGCAACATGGGCTGGAGGTCTGAAGGCCCCTCCAAGCCTCACGTTAACATTGGGGTTCCTGGCCCGCTCCAGCCCCTCGCTGTTGTGCCCTTGTCTGCCTAGAGGGGGCAGCGGGCCCTGTGAGTCTGCAGGCCTCATCTTTCCCAAGGATCCCACAGTGCAGATGCAGAGGCTGGCACAGCCCTCCTGTGCTACCTGCCTAGCTGCCTACCACCCTCACACCCGTCCCCGGGCAGCCCTCCTCGGGGCAGGGCTCTCCATCCCAGGCCTCGCCCACTGTCGGGGGTACAGGAGCCCAGATGGGCTGAGTGAAGATGGCAGGCAATTGCACAGAACCAGCTCCTTCCGAATGGCTAGAACCTCATTCCTTAAGGGACCCTCTCTAGCGACAGAGGCAGAGTGCAGACTGCCCCACAGTGGAGCCTGCAGGCTGGGAGCTGGCCCGGGCCAGGGGCACTAACGCCCAGGACCCCAGCAGCTAGCCTCCTGCCGACAGCTGCCTCCTCTCCACAGGAACGCACCTGTCTGCCCACCCTGTGGCAATGGGGTTGGGGTGGGCAGCAGTCCTGTCTCCTGACTCTGCTGTCTTCCTCCAGGTCCGGCAGAACCCGGGGCGGCAGGCGTGTGGGATGGAGGGCCCGAGTGGGCCAGGACCAAGGACCTCCGTGCCTCAGCTCACTCAGGTAGCCCTGAGGCCCATGTTCCCTCTTCCAGCTCCCAGGTGTTCCTGTCACTCTTCACGCCCTGGTTGTGCACCAGGGACCTGACGGCCCCCCATGGGAGACAGTGCATACAGATCAGTGCTGGCCCGGGTGCCAGCTTCCCTAGCAACCAGGGCAGGAGAGCTTCCCCGGCACACTTCCCAGAAGGGAGGGAAGCCACCAGATGCCCTTCAGGAAGGAGGTGGTCTGGAACCATTCTGACAGCCAGATGGGCCTGGGGTCAGACCCAGGGTTCAGGCAGGCACCAGGGCCCAGCTGTGACGGAGCCCTGCCTGCTCTGCTTCCCCTCCTGTGAATGCTCGCTGCAGGAAGGCTGCTCCACGGGCAGCACTGCCGGAGCGCCTGGCCTCAGCCCAGCCACTGCAGCTATGGCCATATGGAAGGCCTGCCACCCTGCCTCTCGAGGGCATCTTAAAAACCATGCATCCTTGTTGTCTCCCATCCAAGCAGATGGGCCCTGCAGCCTTCCCTCCAGCTGTGCTCTGCCAGTCTTGCTAGGTGAACCTCTACTGTCTGTGGCCCATCCATGTCCTTTGCCTGGGGTGGGGAACTCAGAAGCTGAGGCCCAGATCCAGGGCCGTCTTCCTGATGCCTGCATGTGCACGACGCCAGGGAGAGCCCAAGCCGCCAAGGACACAGAGGCACAGAGCAGCGAGGGCATGGCGGCGTGCGAGGGCCTGACTGGCCCAGCCTGGAGGAGTGCAGGCCCGGGCAGAACCCCTGGGCTTGCTCCTTAGGAGCACTCAGTCTCCAGATGTGAGCACCTGTCCCCCCTGGTGGCAGAGCTGACCGCCTGTGACCCCACTACACCAGCGCACACAGAAAGCCGCCACAGTCTTAAGTGCTGTGTCACAGGGTTTGCCACCGCCAGCCACGCCTGGCAGTTGCCAGAGGCACTCACGCTGCCTCAGCACTGCTTCCCAGGGAAGCCACGCGGCAGCCCGCGGGGCTGCTCGTCACCAAGCCACATGCCAGGTTCGGAAGGATGCTCCTGGCAGCAGCTGCCTCCACAGAGGAGAGGCCCAGGGCGCTTGCGTGTTCTTGTCTGTACCTTCGGGCACAGTCCTGAGTGGATCTGGATCCACAAAGTGAATCCATTAGAGAAAGAACACAGCAGCCCCGCCCCTCTCCCTGTGCCAGCCGCACGACAGTCAGAGGACATGATGCTCGGGGCAGGCAGAGCTGGGGCTGGCGCATCCCGCAGCCGCTGCTGACCTGACACTTCCTGAGGCTGGGGAGCTGCAGGCAAGCAGGTGACTGGGGAACAGGCTCCCCGTGTTACTGGTCATGACAGGGCAAGCCGGGGAAAGGGGTGGGGGAGGTGAGTGAAACCACAGACTCAGAACGGCCAGAGCTGAGAAACGGACACTAACAAGACCGAGTGTGGGGGGGGGGGGGGGGGGGGGGGGGGGAGTGGGGAGCAGCGAGCAGTGGGGCCTGTCGGGAACAGCACACACTTGCACTGGGAGCCAAGAACCCCCTGTTCCCCACAGCCCCGTGTGTGTGTCAGCCACCCACACGTCCTCTGGTTAGGTGCCACCCAGCATCACCTCTGGGTGAGGCCCCACCACCTGGAGCTGAGTGCTCTCTGCGCTCAGTCCACAGCGTGTGGAAGAGGCACAGCTGGAAGGCAGTGAGGTCCCGGGTGCCAAGTGCCCAGGTGGCACTGCACTGGAAAGAGGACAGATTGTCCTGACTGCAGCAGATCACACAGCCTGCCCACCCACCCTCCCGCCCCTCGGACAGACCGACCCTGTGTGCTGGGTCCCATCTTCTCATCCTGTGCCCACGAGCTGCAGCTGGCAGGATGCACAGTGATGGGGGAGCCCTGTGCCAGCCCCCTGCTGCGTGCAGTCGGCGGGTGTGAGAGCTGTGTGCAGAGCCCTCACCTGCTCCCCTCTTCCCCCACAGGCCATCCTGGCCGCAGAGGAGCTGCCCCTGGCCTACCACCAGACTCCGTGGGCTGCGCAGGAGCTGGGACCCTTCCTGCGCCAATGCCTCCTGGACCAGCACTTCCCGGCGTTTGTGGAAGACGTGGAAAAGGAGCTGAGGAAGCTGCTGGGGCCGAGCAAGTAACGCCCCCGTGCGTGTGTCACCTACGGAATAGCCGAGTACTGGTATACGCTTCTTTCAGAAATTAAAGAAACTGGAATAAGGAATATTATGTCAAACACCTTTTATCAATGTTTTATTTTTAAAAACTGGTGAATCCACATTTTTTTTGTACATCATTGCACTTCAACAGTTACACAAACACATGCATCTAGAAGGTACGTACCGCAGGAGGGCCTAGTCAGTCCAGCCATGAAATCTACCATCAGTCATTACGTCAGTGTGAAAATACAGTGTCAAACCGAAAAGTCTAAATAGAGTTGCATAGAGTATCACCATGCGAACACATTTCCAGGTCATTGGAAACAAAAGGTAAATTATAAAAGTTTGCTTTGATTGAATGTACAGTAAGGTCTAACACATCAGTGCAAAAAGGATTTGAGAATTTACATGTTTAAACAAACAAACAAAAAAATCACTTCAGAAAACAACCATAGGCATACTTCCTTAGTCCCCCGGACTGCTCCAGCCCCTTGGTGGAGTCGTAGGGTAAGCCCTTAGCATGATAGGCAGTTTGGATTCTCCTCTGTATGTGCCACCACTGCACAATTTCCTCATGGGAACATACAATAAAGGATGAGTATCAGCAGCTTAAAAAGGAAACAAGCATTTACTTGATTTTGGATTTCTCCCACCCCACCCCCCAAAATATAAATATATAGATCTATATATTTATATACTGTATATATCTGTAGGTTTTGCTGTCCTTTACAAAAAATGGCCACTAGATGGCAGCAGTGCGCTTTAGAGCTCTGCCAATTTAACAGCTGCATTAAGTGAAAAATGGCGCATGCACGGTCTGACCCCAGAAGGTCAATTTTCACTTCTGTCTCAGTGTTTGAACAAAGGAAGAAAAAAAAAAGCAACATTCACAGCACATCAAGCCCAAAATAGCGTACACCTCCTACACTGAAGCACTGTGTAACATGTACCTGGCTAGGTCCCCCTTACAGGAGAGGCTACGTAAGGCATGCTTTAGACAGTCATCGTGGTGCTGCTCACTTGAAGGGGGAGGACCAGGGTGGCCCAAGCGGGAGATTTAGCAGGTCACGTTGCCCCCAGCTTCAGGAACCTAAAGACTGCAGAGAGAGAGGGACGTTGAGAGACCACCTTCACTGTCCCCAGGGACAAGCACACACGTTGTGACGCTCAACTGCTGCAGCTCAGGGACCTGGCAGCCTGACGTTGGCTCTGCACGTCTGCCCACCCCACAGAGCAAATACGAGGAAGCTAACACCACAACAGCAAGGTGTACCCCCTTGGAACGCACGGGCGCAGCCTTGACGTGACTGGGCAGCAGCACGGCTGGGCACATGGGGCCGGCTGCCCGGGAAGTGGAGGGAGTACCCAGCAGCAGCACCACCAGAGGGTCTGCAGCTCAGCGGGGCATGCACCTGCACCATCTTCAAGCTCCTGCAGGCAACCATACTTACATGAGAAGCAGGTACTTAATTTGTGTTTCTCTGGCGCAGATTTTTATCTTTGTGGTTGTTCGTCGAGTTGGTTTTCCTGTGGAGGACACAGGCATGAGCTGAGTGAACCGAACACATGGAAACTCGACCTCGCACTTCCTGCCCTCCCCTGGCATGGCAGCATGCGCATGCGTGCGCACACACACAAACACGTGTGCGCGCACATCACTCCCCTCCCCCTGGTCTCCCCTGGGTCCCAGGGATTGCTGCAAGCATCACTTCATCCTTGCAAAGCCTGACGCCCCCATTGCGTCAGCTTGTCTCCCCCATGCTGCACGTCAGCACCCAGGCCATGAGGAGCGCCCAGCCCCAGGGCTGTCGGCCATCTGCATGGCCCTGCACATGGGTGGCCAGGACACAACCCCACCTCCACGCAGACCCACAGCAGGCACCCCGGGGCAGTCCCGTCCCCGCTCACTCCTCCTCGGTGCCCCCACCTGGCTGACGTGAACATGCCCCAATCCCCCTAGCAGCTGCAGCGCTGGCGACTGGTGCAGCACTTACATGGGTCCAGCTGGTTCGTCATCTGTACATGTCCGGGTTGAGCATGCGCCAGGTGAGGGAAGAAAGGAGACAGCTGTTAAGATTCTGCCCAGAGACGAGGGGCCGAGCGCACTGCAAGTGGCAGCCATGGCTGTCAGAGCAGCAGAAGGCCATTCCGTCTGAGGTGCAAACACTCATGGAGCTGCTCTCCCTCGACTTGAGTCTCAATGGCAGGTGTGTGGGTTCAATGGCTTTGGTTAACACTTGGAATGCTTTCATGAAGAACTGCAACTGTAGTGGACAGAGGCTGCGAGAGCGTCCCCCTCTGCCTGTCCCCAAGTTCCAGTGGTTCACTCTCGGATGGGAGGACACTGACATCTCGGTTGTAAAATCCTGCTGTGTGTTTTCTCGTGGCCAAGGGCCCCCCACGCTGGACCAGGTGGCTCGGGATATAGGAGAGCCACATCCCCACGCCCCCAGAGGACACTGTCCTACAGGAAGCTGCCACAGTCCCACCTTAATTCTGGGTCAACCCTGCTGGGCTGGGCTGGGCTGGGCTGGGCTGGGCTGGGCCAGCAGCAAGCATCTGCGTGCCTGGGGCGCAGTGTGCCAGCCACACCAAGAGAGCCGAGCAGCGACGTCCCTCTGAGCAGGACTCGGGTCATGTAAGCGCTCTGGCCGAAACCAGGACCCTAACCCAGAGGCTGGGCGTGCTGGTGGTTTTTTTTTTTTTTTTTTTTCTGAATCAAACAGCATGGATGATGAGAGCTCAGGAAACCTCTGACATTGGTACTTTATGATCCCAATTTCCACATGTTTCTTTCCTGTTTCAATGAGAGGCAACATGGCCTTTGAAGCAGAGTTACACAAGGTGTTGTGTTTGTTTTTTTAACGACTGACAAAGGGGAGGGACAAAGTAATGCTTCTTAGTCTGCTTTTAGCACTCGGGACTGCACAAATCCCAAGTTTGATTTTACGGGGGTTTCTAGAAAAACTCAGCAGGATTCCACAAGGGGGCTGGGTGCACATGAAGCAGTTATGGAGTCAGTCTGAGTGTAGGCGTCTGCAGAGCACATGTCAGGAGGAATGTCTGGCCGAGGAGACATTGCTCCACCTGTTCCTTCAAGGCAACGGAGAGGCAAAGCCACGGCCAGCACACACAGTGACCGGAGCGAAGAGGGGTTTCAAAAGAAAAAAAAAAAAGGAAAAGAAAACAAAAAAAGAAGTTATCACAAACCAATGACTCATCAGCCAAAACAACAGGCTAGCAACACCAGTGTCCACGGGAGTCTAAACAACAGCGCGACTGAGACAGGCACACAACACACTGGGACTCGGACACGGCCCAGCCCGGCCCACACGAGGGACAGGTACTGCTCAGATGCCCACCAAGCCAGCCCAGCCCTGTGCCGAGAGCTCAGCCCTGTGGGCAGTAACACAGACACAGGAGCAAACAGACTACCAGTGCTTTGGCTGTGCACCCGGACAGACCAAGTCCTGACACAAGACAGTCGGATCAAGAATGTCACCGCCTACTCCCAACTAGAGAAAAGCAGGGGTGGGGGGCCACGACGGCCACTGCACACAGCCCACACCACAGTCTGTTCCAGGGGGAGGGTGCCCTGCCCTGCCATCCAACCCCCAGCATGGCCCTTCAAGGACTGCGCGCAGCTGCCGCTGCCTCCTCCAGCACAGCATGTGCCAGCGAGTGCAGCGTGTGGCGCTCACGGGGCCTGACTCCTGGGTGCCACCTCCATCCACCTGCTCCCACGCCCAGCGGGGCTGCTGACCGAGCACACAGAGGACGGCCCCCCATGCCCAGGCCCTGTGCGTAGCATGGTCTCCCACACAGGCCAGACAACAAACGAGCCTCAACAGGTCAGTCGAAAGAGAAGAAAGAACAGAGCTACAGCAAAGGGTATAAAAATCAAAGTAAATGAGGATTAAACAGCAAACTGAAATCCAAATTAGTTGTGAAAGTGAATGAAGTAAACTTGGGAAAGTGTTAACATCATGAACTGTGCATCGTATAGACTGAAGCGGAGATTAAACAGACTCCAAAAGCATGCAGATCGCTCACTTACCACCACGGGTTAAGGGTTTGATGCAATTGAAGGGGGGGAAAAAAAAAAAAGAAGTCACAGTAACCGACAAGTGTCAACACAGCCCAGACCCTCAGGCCACAAGCAGTTAGCGGGGACAGTCCTGAGGAGCCACTGTGGCTGGGGCGGCAGGGAGAGGCCCTGTGGAGGGCAGCACGCCCTGCCCTGTGTGTGCCCGTGGTCTTCTCCCGCTGCTGCCCGCAGCCCTCAGGGTCCAGGCAGCTGCTCTAAGGTACTCCGGGGGACAAGCTGCCCCATCTAGTGTCACCTCCAAAAACACAGCTTCAAGCCCAAATAACAGGGGCAGGCTCTGACCCCTTGTTTGCCAGTCCACCACGGTGGCCGTGAACCCAGCAGGGACACATCTCACTGGCCCCGCCGCACCGTGTCCTGGGGAGGCCGCCTGTCTCAGGCACTGGTCTGGGACAGCATTTCAAAGTACCCTGCTCATCCATTTCTAGCTCACCGTAAGCCCTCACATGCCACCAGACTGGACGCACTGGCCAGCTGTCAGAGCTCGGCACCTAGGAGAGCTGCCCCATCCAGGGTCAGCAAGAGTGTGGCTGTACCAGAGCCATGAAGGACGCCACCCCGACGCAAACAGCTCTCCGTCAGTATCTGGAAAGCACCCTCTGGTGTGCCAACAGACTCATCCCAGTGTGCACACCGCACCCTGAGGACGTCGCTTGGATTGCTGTAACCATGCACCATCAGGGAGGGCCCGAGGCTCTCCTCACCCCCGGAGCCATCGCCCAGGCTGCCGTGTGCACCTGAAGGTGAAACAGGCGGCCGCCACGGCACCAGCAAGGACAGCTAGAGGGCGCAGTGGCGCGCGTCGTGGCGAAGGCCAGCAAAGCATCCAGGGAGCAGTCAGGGGTGGAACCCAGAGCTCTGGGAAGCCCTGAAGGTCAGAGGTGAAAACAGCCCACCTACAAGACAAGCCTTTTTGAGGCACTGGCCCCCACAGCCCCCACCCGCCAGGGCACGGGAGGCAGGAGACAGAGTCAGCTGTCAGATGCAGACAGCAAGGTGAGGGAGCAGCCAGCCCCGCCTGCCGCAGTGGGATTCGCTGTCCTGGCGACCACAGACCCATCTCCAGGTTGCCAGGTGTGTGCGCGGTTCTCTTCCAGGGAAGAAGTTAGCAAAGACCACCCCAGACCCCAGCAGGGGGCTCCAGAGAGAGTACCTCCTGGGCCAAGAAACGCCTCAGGGGCACCAACGCAATTCCCATTTTCCCCCTGGCATAAGGGAAGTATTTCTCTGCAAGGAGGGGGCACCTAAGGGGCAGGACACGGAGGGATGCAGAGGGGTGGGCCAGGGCTGAGAAAAGGTGGGGTCACTCCCCCACTTCTCTGATGGCAACTTTCAGGGAAAGGGAACCAGAGGGGCGGACCAGTGGTGTGTGGGGGGGGGGCTGTGGCATGAAGATGCCAGAGCCCAGGCTGCCCGCCCCCTCTCCGTGACAGCCCTACAACAACAGAAGCCCAGTGCAGGCCTCTCTTTGGCAGTTTCCCCAGGAGCCCCTCCAGGTAGCCAGGGAATGCCTACCAAAAGCCCCTGCCTCCTGGGCTGGGATCACCCTGGTGAGGCAGACAGCCCCCCGGACCCTCTGTCGGCATATGCTGCACAGCAGCCCGGCAGTGCGGTGGCTGAGGAAGGAGATCACTTCCCTGGGGGAGAGCAGCAGCCAGCCAGACTTACTATTGAAAGGCAAACTGGGAAGGCTTCTTTGGCCTTCTCTTGCTTTTCCGACCTTGCCGGGGGCATAGAGAGAAGGGGCACTGGGACAGCACTTGGAGGAGTAGAGCCTGACGGACAACAGGGTCCAACCACCACACCTGGGACGTGCCAGCTACTGCTTCACCCTTGAGTCTGTGCACCTGCACATCCCAACACGCAGTAGGTAAGACTGGAGGGAACAGGCAGGGACACACACATGTCCTTAGTAGGCTGTCTCCCCTGCAGGGTGGGAAGTGCAGCCCCCGGGGGTGCTCTGTGCCAGGCAGCTGGGCCCCAGATTCACAGCGGCCCCTCTGGTCAGCCCTGCACCTGCCCAGTGCCCACGTCCAGCTCGTCAGGTCTCCCACAGGCATCACAGAGGCCAGCACTGAGCTTAGCCTGGCTGCCCCTCTGATCAGTGTGTATCCCAACATGTGGTAGGTAAGAAGTCCGAGGGGCTGGGAGACCAGCGAGGCAGGGAGCGGCTCTGCTGGCACGCAAGTCTTCCCAGCTCTGTGGGGGAGCATGGGGCTCACTTGGGGCTCCCCCAGACAGATGTATACAGAGCTGCAAGGGCAGCCAAACTGCGACGGGCAACACCTCATCCGTCCATGTCAGCTTCTTCAGGTTGGCCGGTGATGGGCCACAGAGCAGTGGCTGGTTGGCCAGTCACCTCTTCATGCAATGACAGGACAGGAGGAACTCAGGAGGACTGATATGGACTTCCATCAGCAGCATCCCCCAGCTGACATCACAGGGTTGGAAATGGAAATCGCGAGCAGGGACAGAAGACGTCTGCGTGCTTCTCCAGGCCATCCACCAAGACTCCCCGCCCTGTGCTCGGCGCTGCCTCGGGGCTCACAGGCTCCACTGCTGCCCCCTGCTCCTGCTCTGACCCTGCACTGGCTAGGGGCGCCGCCTTGGGCAGATGCCAGGGGTTACCCATCCCAAACTGGGAGGGGGTGGACACGGCAGATGCTCTGCATGCACAAGAGAGCCATGAAGACCAATCAAGGGACTGCTTGTGGGAACTGAAGGCCACCGATCCCAGTGACCTACAAGGGCTGCGACAGGCAGCCAGGTGCCCTGCAGCCTGGGGGTGGCTCCTGGGCTACACAAAGACTGACAGCTGCCCAGTCACCCGGGCCTGGAGGGCACTACCCAGAGGCAGCGAGTGCATCACAGCTCACAAGAGGGGCGGGGTGGTGTGTCAGACAGGCAGACCCTCTTTCTTTCCTTCTGGGACCAAGTCCTCTGTGGGGCCCAATGGGACTCTGGGGTGGGGATGTTCTTACCATCAGGAACCTCATCTGGCCTCTTCCTCTTCTCATACACAACAATGATCACCACAAGGATGATGATTTCAGCCACAATTCCCAAGAAAGGCCAGAGTGGGGCCAAGTGGCTCCGTACCCTGAGGATGGTGACGACGGAGGTGGTGCCGATGGAGTTGGTGGCGTTACATTCGTACTCGCCAGGGTCTTCGGTGATCTGGAGGTTCGTGATGCTCAACTCTGTGTAATTTTCCTTGTTGATGATGAAGAAGCGGCCAGAGGTATTGACGAGATCCTGCACAAGTGAGAACACACCGGTGAAGGCTGGTGAGCCACTGCCCGCGTGCCACCACTGCCTGGAGAGCGACACCACTGCCCGAGTGGCACCACTGCCCCAGAGAGTGCCACCACTGCCCCGGAGAGCGACACCAGTACCCCGGAGAGCGACACCACTCCCCGAGTGGCACCACTGCCCCAGAGAGTGCCACCACTGCCCGAGTGGCACCACTGCCCGAGTGGCACCACTGCCCCGGAGAGTGGTACCTCTATCCAAAGCCTTTGGAATACTTCACTAATGACTGTCCCTCAGCATTAATAATGGCCATGACAGGCCAACTGGCTTCAGAGAGCAGCGTTCCAAATGTCTCCAGGTGCTACCAGGTGCCACCAGGCACCCCGGCCCACCTGACCATGTAGTCAATGCTCCCACTTCTAACAGCAGCAGCAAGAGGATGGGCGACATTCCTGACCGGGCACCCTGGGAGTCACACAGACACTTCTGCCTTGGGGAGTTCACGCATCTTAAATTTCCTCACCAAACAAGGATCTTTGTCATGTGGGGAGAATCATGATGTCCTTGTTCTAGGGTTAGGGGAAGACTGACAAGTCAACCATGCACATGACACACATCCTGTTAAGCGTGAGGTTAGCCAGGCTGGGAGAAGCTTGGCCCCCACAGGCAGGCAGAGGACAGGTCTGCGGGAGCCTCAGGCCTGGTGTGGAGTGCGGGGACGGGCGTGCGGCCTCCTCAAAGAGCTGGCAGAAACACCTGGGCAGAGGCCGCAGGAGGGAGCACGCCCAGCAGCCCGCCCTCACAGGACACTACACTGGCAGGAAGACAGCGGACTCAGGTATCCTTACCCTTCAACCCTTCATGCATAATTAGCAATGGAAGACTGCAGGGGAAGATCATCCCTGAAGATTCTAGCTGGTCTGTGCTCATGCGTGGGTGCAGCTGATTTGGGGGAACTCATGGCTTGAAGAGAGCTATTCTCAAGTCTCCAGTTTCCTATTTTTTTTGAGAGGCGCACACACCCACACACACCCACACCCACCATTCTCGTTTGTGGCTTCACACCCTAACTGCTCGCAGTGGCTGGGACTGGACCAGGGCTGGGGCAGGGACTGAGAACTTAGGCCAGGTGTCGCACACAGCGCGCACGGACTCACCTGCCACCTCCCAGAGTCAGCCTCAGCAGAAAGCTGGAGCCTGGCAGCAAACCCAGGCTCTGCCATATGCAACACTACGCCTCATCTCTCTATAGAGATTAAAATGCCCACCGAGTAATGCCAACTTAGTCTGACAAAAACCAAGGTGCATTCCCTCTTAGGAACCAGAAGAGGAAGCTCGGTGCCTTCCTGAAAATGCTCAGCTGGGCACTCCCCCACCTGCCCAGGGTGGTCGGGGCTTCTGTCAGCGGGGGCGGAGGGGCAGCCTTCTCCCCGCCTGCCGTTTTCTTAGTAAGAGGTCAGCAAGTGGCAGCTAACGGACTTGAGATTGGAAAAGCAGATGTGCTCTCGGGTCTGTGGCTCACCCAGCCTGTTTCGCCACATGCGACAGGCTGGACGTGGCCTTCTCTGGGGTCCCGAACCTGCAGACGTGAAGCACGCAGGGCATAGATACCTGGTGACAGAAGGCCCAGGTGAAGCCTCCACAGACAGAAAAGGAGAGGGGTCAACAGTCCTTCAGGCAGAGACGAGCGAGAGGCCACACACCACCCGCGGTCAGCCCGCGGCCTGGAAGGACGCAGCCTTCAGTCTCTCACTGCATCTGTAACGCCCAGGCCGCCCTGGGGCTGCCTCAGGATGGCCCGATTCCTGACCCAGATTTTCTGCGTTCCAGGAATACACGTGGCTGCCCTTAGCCCCCTGCCTCTCCCAAAACAACTACTCTATGACCACTGCAAGAAGAAAAAAAATTCGCAAACTGCAAAGTTATCCTGCACTCTGCAGACTGTTGGTGACCCTAGGTCACCAGGCAAGCTGTGACGCCAGGAGAGGTGACCCGGCCTCACCCCATCTGTGGGCACACGGGTCTGGGGCCCCGGGCTGCCTGTCACTTACCATGAGCACCCCGTTCTCCTTCTTGCGCCACAGCCACTCGGGATGGGGGTAGCCAACCGACTTGCAGTACATCATGGCGTCTTGCCCTTCGTTCTTATTCTCGCTCCGTTTATGACCAGTGATGTCAGGTGCAGCTGCGGAAGAACATGAAATCGTGACCCGAGGGCCCACCTTCTACTGCGTTCAGCACAGTGACTGCTCAAGTGACGCTGCTGCCAACTGTGCTGCCAGTCTTCAGAGGTCCCCCCGAGGGAAGGGCCTTTCAGGTCAGGGCAGAGTAAGGAGACAGGGTCGTTACTGTGCGAGGCGCTGCTAGCGCAGGGCACACTCTAATGCACCAGAAAAGGATGCAGGCCCGTCTTCAAAGAATGCACAGAACAAAACTGGCAGTCCAAGGCTTTCTTGAAACACCTGCCCAACTACAGATGATATTACAGGGAAAGGGACCAAGGGGACCAGGGGAGAGCCAAGACCTGTCACAGCACGTGGTGACTGCCAACGGCACGACTCTCCCGGAGACAGAATCTTCACAACAGAGAACAGGGCGGGTCACAGGAGATCCAGCCAGTGTCCCAGGCAGCTGGGAGTCTGCCCCAGTGCACCCAGCTAAACAACCACAACAAGAGCCCCGGGAGAAACACCCTGCCAGGGTTCTCTGCTCTGAGGATTATTACACAGGAGGCCGTACCCAACACATGAAAGTCTAAAGGCGAAGCAAATTCTTAAGCCCTAGGTGGGGCTAACTTGTTAGTCTTCCTTTCCACTGCACCAACAGCAGTAATCTACGGCTTGAGCTGTGGCCTGAGAGGCGGAGGCTCGTGTGCTTGTCTTCCTCTTGTTTCACTAGGCCAGAACACGGCACACCTGGTTGGACTGGGCCACAAGGGGGCACAAATCAGCTCAAGGTCACGGCACTGCAGGGAAGCTGCCAAGCAGGTCCTGAACCTCCGGCACAGAGCTCGGGGAAGGCACACAACTCAGACACCAGCCAGCAGCACGCGGCTTCGGCCCGTGGCCTCAGCCCCAGGCGAGAGCAGGCTCAGGCTGAGGGGACTGCGGCCTACATCTCTGGAAAGGCCCCGGGTTTCAGCTGAGCAGCAGGGCTCCAGAGGGCGGTCAGCAGTCCTGTGTTCACCACACCAACAGCTTCCCTTCCGTTTACCCTCTGGAGTGTTCTCTAGAACATGGCCTTACAAGCTACCACCAGCTGAGTTAGCCCCACACTAACTACACCTAGAATGTTAACACCTACAAGAAAATCATCCATGTCAGATCCATTCTTGCTTTCTCTGAAGAACACTCAATGAAATGCAGCAATACCCCCTTCTCCCTTCTGTACTCATAAGGCTACGGCCTGAACCACTCACCCAGGAGGAAGGAGCCTCACTGGCACCTTGGATGGGAAGACTACCAATGCCAAGGGCATCAGTGCCCCTGCAGCTCTGCAGCAGCAGAGAGCGCTGTCCCTTCCCTGCTGAGCAGGCTAGTGGCCCCGCCTCATGGCACCTGTCAGCCATGGTCAGAGAACACTCCCGAGGGGCGGGCGCTCTGATGCCATGAGGGAGACACCCTTGATGGGCCGACACTCCTGAGGGCAGCAACATTCAGGCTACCCGTAGCAGGGGTGCAGCTCTAGAAGCCAGGGCCCAGGGCACACTGCAGGAGGGCACCTGCCACCTCACAGCGAGGAGCTAAGGCCTCCACCCACAGCCACTCAGCCCTGCTCAGTCTGACAGATGAGGAGCCCAGTGGCCAGTACGCCCCACCAAACTGTACCCCCAGACACTGTGAGGAAACAGATGCTATACAACACAGTAAGGCAGGTCCTCTGAGAGCCCACGGTACCTCCATCATCATGGCACTAACATTCACGTGGTGCTCTGAGTCCAACATAAATACCACAAAGAAACCATCATTTGGGCTCCTGGGGGCATCCTGAGCTCTAAGAAACCAGAAGGGCTGGGCGGAAGCACACCCTGTGCTTGCCGACTCCACAGGACCTCTGCAGCAGCTCACGCAGGGCAGACCTGGCCACACATTGGCAACCGGTGCCTGCGCCTCGCCCGGCAGGCTGGTCACTTAGTTGGGGACCACCTATCTAGGTCAGCTAGTCAGAAACAGCGCCCCCATCAGAAAGGATGTGATGCATAAGTCCCTCCCTCTCCTCCGCCCTCTCGGAGCACAGACCCTGTGGCAAGGTGCGGTGTGGGGAGTGAAACCACTGGCCATCTGGGAGTTCGCTCAGCCATTGGCCTTGTCCCACATTCGTTTTGATCGCACCAGGTAAAACACAACCTTCAGCACTCTAAAGGATGGCAGTGAGGGACCCAGTGGCACCTGACCCACCTTCATCCTCCCAACACGGACAAAAACATGGTCCTCATGCCCTCTGCTGCCCAGCTGACCTGTGTGGAGGCCCAAGTCCTCAGCCAGGCTGGGATCTGGAGCCCGGCTTAGATGAAGATTCTGTCCTGCGCCATCAAGAGGACAGACTTCAGAAGGGGACTCAGAAGCCGGGCTGACACTCACTCCATCCAGCGAATTCATAACCTGTACCTCATTTAAGGAAAACCTACCCTTACAGGTGTTGTCAACACGTGGGCCACTTGCACACCCTGCAAGGAGACTGCTTCCGTCAGGCGAGGTGGGGACATCAGGCTGTGGGCCGTGACATCACCCGGGCGGCCCTACCAAGGCAACCACAGGCAGGACTCAAACTCTCATCAGTCCATAGCACACTAATTTGTAAGCTGATACTCTGGCACAGCCTGCAGATGATGCTATAAACATCCACATAGCTCTTGGCAGAAAATTGGTCTTCTCCAACTATCAAGCCTCAGAGCCACCTCACCTCCGCTGCAGACCAAATGCCTGGCTGAGGCTGAGGGAGAATTAAGACTTGCTGTGAGCCAAGGGTGAGGAAGTCAGACGAAGCAGGCACAGGGACTTGCCCCACTGTGACTGGGAAGCAGGGAGCAGTGCAGGCCAGGCACGGGGTGCGAGAGACACCAACAGTGATCCTCAGCCTGTGGCGGGGTGCGGGCCCTGGCCCAGGCTGCGCATTCATCTCAACCCTGGCTGCACACTAGACTGTGTTTACAAATGATCACACCACGTTTCCTACAAACTAAACCTAGTAACACTCCAGACACGTCTCTTGCCTGGTCCTGGGCACAGCGAAGGCATGCTCTCTAAGCACAGGAGCTGCCAATCATCACCATGAAGAAAAATCAGCTTTGGAAATCCTTTCAATAACCAACCTCAGAGGAACAAAGAACACGGGGACCTGGGCCATCAGCTTAGTCATTCTCCTTCACCACACCCCTGGGGAAGCCGAGGCTCAGAGTAACTGGTCCATGTCGGGGCCAAGAACAGAATCCATTTCTTCTCAGCATTAATGGTGCGACTGACCCATGCTGAAGGTTAGAGCACGGGCCTGGCTCTGATGGCCCAGTCATTTAATGTCAGAAGCCTCGACCCACTCACTTGATATGTGAGCTAACTACTGCTCAGGCCCCACAGGGTGCACACTTAACAAGCTCAAGGTGGCACCTGTGGAAGAGCAGGAGGAACAGGTACTGCTCTCTGGGCCGAAGCCAAGGCTCAAAATTTCTCCAGGCTTCAAGACACTGATATTACCACCATGCTTTAAAACCTCCTCCACGGGGCTGGCACCACGGAGTAGCAAGGCTTCCACCTGCTTTACCAGCATCCCGTATGGGTGGTGGTTTGGTCTCAGTTGCTCCACTTCTGATCCAGCTACCTGCTAAGGCCTACAAAAACAGTGGAGGATGGCTCAAGTCCTTGGTCCTGCAGCCACGTGGGAGATAATATTTAAAAAAAGAAACAAACAAACAAACAAACAAAAAAAACACAGGACTCCTGTTCCTTGCTTCCAATCAGCTCAGCTCCAGCTGCTATAGCTATCTGGGGAATGAACCACAGGATGGACAACCTCTCTGTGTAACTGTTTTTCAAATAAAAATAATTAAAAAAAAAAAAGCTTCTTAAGCAGAGGCAATTCTGAATCAGAATCAGCTTTAAAAATGTCACGAACTCCATCACCTTCGGCAGAGGGGATGCTGGGAAGACACTGTGCAGACACAGATGCGCAGGACTGCTCCCACAACAAGTGCAGTCCCACCAGTAAAGCAGTGTGACAGAAGAGGCGCAGAAGCAGGCCAGGGCCACATCCAGCATTCAGTCTAATATTCAGACACACAGAAAGGCAGGAAGGAGGGAGGAGAAAAATGGAAATTGATCCTGGCCCCGCTAGCCACCGGCAGGCTGAGGTGCATGGCAATGTGCGGTGAGCGGGAACAGGGCGCTTCTCCCTGGGCTGCATGTGCTCCCACCAGAGGCCACAGCACGAGGACCGAGGACCACCGCAATCCTCATCTGAAATGACCACCAATAAAACTTGAAACTCGGAAGAGGAATTTTCCTTTTACTTTGCATATTACACAGAACATTTTAATTACCTTTTCTGTGAGCATACTTTTTTTTCTTTCCAGAAAAACAAGTATAGGAAGAGGGTTCATAAGGGTCAGAGAAATGCAGTAGAAATTTGCCCATTCCTGTGCAGCCGGCACCGCTCTGCTGAGTGGACACCTGCCCGTTCCTGTGCACCAGGCATTCTCCGCTGAGGTGCGGCAGCCAAGAGGCACAGCTCACACCCCACCGCCTCTCACTCAGCAGCATCCAAATCAATAGTTACATACACACACACACGTATGTACGTACGTACGTCAAGGGCAAGACTTCTGTCCATTCCAACCACAGATAGGTACTAGCTTAGGACACCATCCTAGGCCCATGGTGAACCTTTTAAAATTTATACAGAAAAAAAATGTCCAAAGTCTCATCAGACTCACAGTGAGTAACATCAAAAACAAAATGGTAAACATTCCACTGCTTTCTATCCCCGGGATAGTTGGAGGACAAAAAAAAAAAAAAAAAAAAAAAAAAAAAATTCACTTCGCAGCACAGCTCTCCTAGTAATGACAATATACTTAGCATTTTCTCAAACAAAATGTCCCCAAGGCCCACCTCTTTGGAGCCAGGATTCCACCCAAGCCATCCTCCTCACAGGGCTCAGTAAGCCCTGGAATGCAGTGCTCATGAGAGACATCCTCAAAGTCCCTATTTGTGTCTGCCTTGCAGTGTGGATACAAGTGCCCCAGGGCCTCGGAATTCCACCCTCCCAGGCAGTCAGACCACTGGAAACTCCCCACCCCCAGTGTCTGCTTCCCAGTTTCCGTAAGGATTCCAGTTCTCCAGAACAGGGGAGGGTATGACTTCATAGGTGAAACTGGAGTCTGTAGAGAGCCAATAGCAGAACTCACTGCCCCTCTTCCTTCCACTGGTATTCCTTCTAAGGCTGGTCCTTCCACACCCTCCTGCCCTTCCAAGGCTGGTCCTTCCATGCCCTTCCTCCCTTCCAAGGCTGGTCCTTCCACACCCTTCCTCCCTTCCAAGGCTAGTCCTTCCACACCCTCCCGCTCTTCCAAGGATGGTCCTTCCACGCCCTTCCTCCCTTCCAAGGATGGTCCTTCCAAGGCTGGTCCTTCCATGCCCTTCTGCCCTTCCAAGCCCTTCCTCCCTTCCAAGGCTGGTCCTTCCATGCCCTTCTGCCCTTCCAAGCCCTTCCTCCCTTCCAAGGACGGTCTTCCACACCCTTCCTCCCTTCCAAGGCAAGTCCCTGCCCTTGGATTTTGTACAGAGATTTGGCAGAATACTGCAGGGCCTCAAGTCTTGCCTGCAGTGCAAGTGCCCCACGTAGCTCAGCTCACCTAGTGGTGGAATGCCTGGCTAGATTAGAGGAAATGATTTTCTACACCCTACATCCTCAGGTTTAACAGAAGGGCACTCTTCAAAAACAGACAGGAACTTGGGTCTCTCCAAAAAACAGCCACTGAAAAGATCAGATGCAAGGTTGTCTGGCTTGTGACCTGTGGCCCCGTGATTCAACTCTTGTCCTCACTTCTAGAGATGACCCCGGTGACAGAAAGAACAGGTGTTTGTCCTTCCTAAGTAAAACAGCCGCCCTGCTTTCACAGCCGCCCTGCTTCCCAGCCAGGTCAGGGTGCAATGGCAGCAGCCTGGGGAGTGGGGGTGAGGACCCAAGGTCTAACCTGGTCTGCCAGTCACCACAGTTATCACAGGGTCCAGAGCTGTGGCTTTAGCTCTGCTTCCCTGGGGCTAGGATCGATGATACCAGGTGGTTCTGCATCTGGGTCGACCACGCCCCTTGAAACTTCCTGCTACGGCCTCATCTTTGAGATGCCATGCACTACAGGGCTTCGAGGACAATTCTAAACAACTGTCCAAATGGCCCATTAACCTTGCGCAGTGCTTTCCCAAATTCTGCTAGCCCAACAGAAAGTTATGCAATATGCATGAGGTACTATTCTAAGAACTTTACAGAAGATTGCACCAACATTCAAACATTTTTGACATATAACAACTTAATATAATTTAATACACTTTTTTTTTTTGAGAGAGAGAGAGAGACAGAGAGCTCCCATCTGTGGTTCACTGCCTAGATTCCCACAAGTGCTAGGGAAACCTGTGGCCAGGAGCCAGGAACTCACTTCAGGCCTCCCACGTGGGTGGCAGGAGCCAGGAGCCAGGCACTCTGACACGAGATGCAGATGTCTTAACCAGGGTCTTCACTGCTTGGCAAACAAACAAACAAACAAACAAAAAACCTGCCCTTTTTAATACACACATGAATAAGCACTACTAATACCCTAATTTTTCAAAAAAGGAAACAAGCGTAGAGACATCAGCAACTGGCTGTGGTCATACCCTGTGTCAACGGATCCCGACTCAGGCAGCCAGTTCCCGTGTTTGTGGCTCCCACCCTAACGCATCACCTCTTGCAGTGGAAGCGCAAAGAGCGTAGAGACTGGTGCCCCAACCCAGGTACCTGGCAGGCGGAGTGACTGTACCTTTTACTTCAATGGTGGCATTTGCCTTAGGCGCGCTGATGAAGTGAAACACACAGTGGTATTCACCTGAATCCTCAGCTCTTGGTTTACTGATCCTGCACAAGCAAGACAAAAATAAAAGAGGTGAGGAACCTGGAGATTGTCACCATATAAACCAAAAGGAAACTGAAAAGGGCACAGAGACCACACCCCCACGGCAACCCACCCCTTCCTAAAGGCAACAGCTCCCCTCTGTACATCCTGAAACATTCATGCCTTCCTCTGTACTGGACAGCAGGAAACCCAAGATGGAATGGTATGTGGTCCCTGACCTAAGATGCTCTCTTTGACTGGCAGCAAGAGACTGCAAAGACTCGAGACGAAAGGCTATGCTAGACTCTCAAGTTCACATGCAGAAAGACAGGATGCAGCCCCTGCTACAAACCTCCTGCTCATCGGACCTCTCAGTCAGACAAGGAAGAGGGGCTGCAGAGTGAAAACGCAGCTTCTGAGCTTCCCTAAAGTCCTGACCTGGCAGTCCTGCTTTTCCTGGCCAGAGCTCCAGCACAGCCTGTTCCCACGCAGGGTTTTAGCAAGCATCACCAAACCTGCTGTCTGAGTACACGCTACAGAGATGCAGCTAAAAGCCACCTTTGGTTCTGAGCCACATACCAGCTGACACCTGCCTCCGTCCCTAGCCTCAACTCATGCTACTTTCAGCCTTGCTGGTCTCACTTCATTCTGCCCAGGTGTCGTGCTGGTCCCCATTTCAAACCCTCACTAGACGTCTTTTTCCACCAGCACTCCCAGCCCTCTGGTCACCTCTGCCTTTACACCACATCTGAAGCTCACGCCTTCTGGGCACTCCATCACATGCCACGACCCTCCACAGGCCTCACTAGCACGTGGAGCCATGGGTGGTGTGCTGCTCAACAGACAACATTCTATGAGGGATGGCATTGTTTACTCGGCGCCTGGTGCACAGGAAGGGAAGAAGTCAACAGAGGACTGAATGAACACAAGCTGGAGAGCAGGCATGCTGCTGAGCAGAGGCAGAGCTCTCCTGGATAGGGATGGGAAGGCACGCAGTATGCTGGGTCTGGGTTGGGCACGGGGACAGGAAGCCACGTGGCACGCTGGGTCTGGGCTGGGCACAGTGATGAAAAGCCACGTGGCACACTGGTTTTCTGCGTCAGGCAGCACTGCTCTGAAGCCCACGGGTGATTCCTAGCGAGCTTCCCTGCCCTCAAGGGCCAACTTCACAGCAGCTGAGCACTCTGCACGCAACCCACGAGAGTAACTGACAAAAACAGCCCCACGTCAGAGGATAAATATTGGTACACAGGGCTGGGTTCCTGCTTCTTTGCTCAGTAGCCAAAATATACCTACAGAGGCCAACTCTCCACTACACTGGCCAAGGTCTGAGAAAAACTCCCATGGTCACCTGCTGGCCAATGCCCTCATCATCTTACTGCTCATTCCAAAGCACACTCAGGTTCAGTGACCATAAATAAGCAGACACAGCCTTCCCCTCAGCCCCTCTCAAGCAGGAGCAGTTTACGTGGCTTCTCAGTTCAGGCCTTTCCCTGAGTGTACTCCCAACGGGACTCTGACACAGACCGGCTGCTCACCAGCAGCCCAGAGTCAGAGGGAGGGATGACAGCTGTCTCCCTGGGGCTACACGGACGCTGAGTTCCTTGAGAAGCACTTGGGACCAGTCCCAAGTCAGGTCCTGCCACACTGGGCTCCTAGCTGTGTCTCACCACCCACGTGGACTGGCTCTCAGGAAGGACAGAAGCAAATGGAAAACAGGCAAGTCAGAAGGACAGCTCTGAAACTGGCTATCTGGCTGACCTACTAGCACCAGGACCAAATGTGGAATCCATGAAGAACTCCAGTGATGAAAGGCACCTTTGCAGAGCTTCAAGTAAGCTGAAGGGGAAGGGGTGGCAAGGCAATTTATAAGGGCAAGGCTTAAACATTAAACATTACAAACAACTGTGGAGATCCAAGAACATGACTGGATGCCTGTTACCTTAAAAGACACACTCTTTAAACTGTATATACAAAATGCATGAGATCTGATCAAACTTTAAAAAGCCAATCTGTGAAACTATCAGACAAATGCCTTTCATTCTACTCCACACCTCCATCTGATCAACTTTCTCCTGGCCATGAAGACAGAGCCGAGATGCTTTCTCTAATGTTGTAACACTAATACCTCAGAGCAGACCTGCTAACTTGTTGTTAAGTGCTATGGTACAGAAGATAAAATTCTAGAAAGTCAGGAAACTTGCAGCCTAACCTTGGTTCCGAAACTTACTGGACACTATCTGGCCCGAGAGCAGCCAAATGTTGAGTCTCAGCTTCCTCACCTGACAGGAGCAGGGCTTACAAAGCCAGTGCAGCGGTTAAATAAGGGTGTGCAGAGAGCTCAGCACTGTGAGTCTCCTGCAGCCAGTCTCAGAGCTCTGCTGTCTCACTCCAGGGTGTTCTCCTTGTTCGTTCGTTCGTGTTCTCTCTCTTTCTCTCTTGCGCGCACATTTTCTCCCTCTCTCTGTACTGCATTAGCCTGTTAGCATGCAAGGTCAGCCGATCCATTCCCAGGGTAGTTTTCAAACAGGAACAAACTAGGGACCAAGTGCCCAAGACATCCCAAAAAGCATGACATCTGTATCCCCAGCAAGCATCCCTTCACCCAGATCACTGGAGAATCTGGCTGCTGGCCCTGGATCAGGTTACAGTGGTGTTAAACAATTCTGAGACAGTTACCAGGAAACCTATCCAATGAAAGACCACTCTGGGAGATTTCTTAGTCAAGGAACCTCAAAAGAGACTTCAACCTGATTCTTCAAACTCTGTGTTTAAGTTTAGAAACCTGTGTTATAACTTTTTAGAAAGGATTTTCTTTATTTCAGAGGGAAAAATGAGAGATCAGCCGATTCCCTTGCCTGATGGTTCATTCCCAGTGCTCACAGAAGATCTGGCTGGATCAAGCTGGAATCCAGGAGTGAGAATGCCATGCAGTGGCATGGATGCAGACCCCTGAGTCAGCACCAGCCATCTTTGTGGGCGGGTGTCAGCAGGAAGCTGAATTGGCAGCAAAAGCTGGTCTGGAACACAGGCACCGGTTTTAACTGCAGGGCCAAACACCTGCCCCTAACCCACACCCTAACTGCGCCCCTCCTGAGTGTGTCACTCGCTCAGTCTTCAGTGTATCACCTGTGAGGGGATGGATCACCCACAGCCCTCAAACCCGGCTCTGGTCCTGAGAATCAGTAGGAAGTCTCAGGGACTGTTTGTCCTCATCTCAGATACATGGATTAACCTCTCTAAGTCAGGACCAAAAGTTATGCCATAGGACATAACACCCGTCATCTAGTAAGCTCAGCTACACTCCTCCCATCTGCCCCCGCAAGAACCTTTTACCTGTATTCCATGTTGCTGGCATTCTTGCGAGTGGCAGTCAGCTCCACCCCATTCTTTGTCCAGTAGCTGTACGTAAGGGCGTGAGAGCTGGAGGTCAAGTTACACTGCAGGGTGACGGGAAGACCAGGGCTGTCTCGAATGATAACCTCTTCGCTGGTGATGATCCTTGGCTCTGTAATAAGAGTGCACAGTGATAGGGCGAAGTAGCTGTCCGTCCTCTGCAGCCTGGCCTGAAAGCTGAATGGGATAGGAGGGGAGACTAGCAGAGGGAGGGCAGACAGGACCACATGAGGAATTTCACTTGCCACTTTGGAGGAAGTCAAAAAAGGAAAAACAATGATTATAAGCAAATGACCACGAGCGCAGACAACAGCCTGAAGACCAGTTGGCCTAGACGTAAAAGAATGGGAGTATATTACAACGGTTTGTGCTGGCAGTAGCCCACTTATACTTTTGACCACCGCCTTTCCATAATGTAAGAACAGCCAAGCGACTGGGCTTCAACTAGAAAACCAGGCTCCACCTTGGAGTTCTGAAGACAAAGGTATTATCATTTATGGAGCAAATAAACCTTCCAGGGAGCCACTGGGCTGTGGAATGCTGACAGATATCAGATAACACATGTATGGCTTTCCCACACTTACATCTGGGGAACCTATGTCAAACCCATCAAGGCCATCACTTTTGCAGAAAAAGACACTGGAGAATCCAAAAACAAACTCCTTCTTGAAAGCCTCTGTGGTTTTCAATTCTGCTGAGGGAAACATCTTAAGGAACTATCCGTTTTTCATTCCAGCCCATATTTATCCCCCCAACAAAATTTTTCCAGAATTGCACTGTAAAACGCATTCCATTCCAAAGACTAAGTTAGAGTGCAGCATATGTGGTGGCAAAGGCTCCTGGGATTTTAGAGTTGAATAGTCCCTTGATGTCAACGAATGCCACCTTTTCTTTGAAGAACTACAAAGGTGGAATGACTTATGCAAAGCCATAGTTACTATCAGTGGCAAAGTTGGGCAATGGAAAACACAACTAACTGAATTCTCCAGCCCAGCCCCAAATCCCAAGGTCATGGCTCCTTCCTGTCGCCTTAGGGCAAAACTTAACACCTCACTTTCTGGGGCTATCCTGGGCTTAGCAGAGAAACAGGGATCACTAGTTTTATCTACAAAAGCAACTTGCACGAGTCAAGTATTGGAACATGTTAAGCGGAAATTCTTTAAGTCACACTATGCAGAATTCCTGCAAGATTCATGCTCAAAACACTTTGCCAACATCATTGTTATGCTCAAGTCAGGATGTTTCTGTGTTGTTTTCCTGTTTTTTATTATTGTACTGCTGGTCATTTCTAATATTTTCCTAGGCTTAATTCTTCTTTTGGCAAAATATTTTTGGGCAACATTTAAACTAATCATCTCTTCCAATCTACAATTAAGAGGTATTTGCCTTCCCCGCAACTTTTCCTCAGAAATCCTCAGCTGACACCCCCACTCCTCACCCCACGACAGCAGCCCTCTTGCTTTCTCATATAGCGCTGTAGCAGCGCTTACCCCTGGGGGACAGAGGCTCTCTTCCCCTGCACTGAACTGCAGTTTGGCTGTGGTAGTGGACAGGAAGTAGAAGTCACGGGGTCCTTGGAAGAGAAATGGACTAAGGCCTTCCTGATGAATGTGCCGAGTCAACCTCTTCAAAGAAAACGGGAGTAAACAAATCTTAAGTTTGCTCAAACAACAAACTGGTTTCCAACTATTTTCCAACTCTGGCAAGCGGACAGAGGAGATCTTCCATTCAGTACTGGTCCTTACTAGTAACACCAAACAGGGGCTCTAGGTACAGGTAACGGAGGCGTAGCAGCCATTAAGACAGAAGCAGGCTTGTGTGAACACATCAGCGCAGATGTCCCACGGTTCCTAAGACATGCTGGACAGAAGCCAAATCCCTGGGCCTTAAGAAGTTGAGCAAAGCAGCTGCCAGCCCTGCAATGGAAGGCGCACACAAACCATCAGCAGAAAGCGGCACAATTCCAAGGAAAATCAAAATCAAGCAAAAACAAAAAGATAGAACCAGTACTCCACACAAGTTTAAAAATAGAAAAGCAACATTAAAGCCCAAACACACTTGAAGGCTTTCCTGTTCTGTCTCCTTTTGGTTGTGCTGAGGAAGAGTGAGCTCTGAGCAAAGGCCGTGAGTTTCCAGATGTTTCAACAGGAGGAGGCCACGGTGAAAGCTACTCTTACCTGTGCTGATGCAAGTGACCACTGCAGCTCCCAGAAGCAGCTGAGGAGAGCAACCCAGGAGACTTTCTGCTAAAAACTCTTAGAAGGTAAAGGAAGGGGGACCATGGATAATTTAAATAGGTTTCCAGAGGACTTGAGCCACAAAGGGGTGGAGAGGTGGAAGGATCTGCCAGTTGCACCTTTACCAGGCTCAGGGCTGTGGTCCTGCTTGTATTCTTCACCTGCATGAAGGCGGGGGCTTTGATCTGGGTGACCAAGCACTGCCCACAGCCCAAGACAGATGAACACTTAGACACTCGGGAGAAGCTCAAGCATTTCCTTGTTACTAATGCCAGCCTGGAGAGCCTGGCGGTCATGAATAGGTGAAGAACAGGTTAAGACTAGAGACCCTACACACTGGGCACATTCCATCTTCCTGCCTGACCTCACACAAGAAGCTTTGGGACAAAGTGCTGCTGGAGGTCATTCTTAGAAGACTTCAGCCTGCCCCTGGAGGCAACTGTCTCTGGGGATGCGGAGATCATAAAACAAGCCAATTAGAGTTGAAATCAGAGTTTTAACAAACAAAAACAAAAAGTAGCAGCAAGCCTAGCTCTTGAGAACAGCTCAGTAGGGCTTGCTCACTGACGGGCAAGTCTGGGGAGAGGCTAAATGGCCAGGACAAAGTTCTATCTCAAGCAGACAGCCCGAGTGAGACGAGCATGTCACAGATGACTCAGGAGGGGGTGTGCTCTCAGAACTGGCGGGCAGGCACCCCAAAGCCTCATCTTCTCCTAGCCCTGGCATGCCTTTTCTTTCTAGCTATTCAGGCTCTTGCAAGTGTAACCCAGTCCCCACATATCAAATTCTCCACATATCTGGCCATCTGGGTGACTCCAGATAAGTAAGGAAAGAAGTAAGGGGGCACGAGAAGGAGATGTGCAAAGGGGGAAAACAATTGCATTAAAAAAAAAATCCCTGCCTTCCCATCTTCCCATCCTCTTTTCCCCTTTCCAGGAGCAGGTTCTCTGAGTCAACCATGTCAACTGCAGCAGCCTCTCTCCTCACTGCTAAGGCTTCTTTTTAATTTTTTTTTTCATGTGTTTTTACCAAATTTTTCATTAATAATAGCATCCTACCGGTTTTACTTATTCTTTAAGCCAGGTGACAACATGAAATTAGTACTAGAGGACCTTCCCACTGGCCAGAGAGTGGTCCCTCCATTACAGTCAGATTTGAGGTAAGCAGCCTGGGGCTCCGGCTGTCAGAGCTCTCCCACCATATCAACTGCAGGTTGTATCAACTGCAGGTTTCTCGGCAGGAGGAGAAGTGGCTACAACAGCACCTAGTGCCCTAGATCAAAAGGGAAGACCCTGGGCCAGCTGCTTTCCTCGCCCCACCAGTCAGATGAACAGGATTGCAATTAAGTTTCCTCTTTCTTCCAGATGAACAAGGGCCAGTGTGAATGGCTTCCAAACCTCGTGTCAGTGGAGAGGCACACAGTACCAACAACTGGGAGCTGGAGTCAGACACAGTTCTACCTACTGCTCTCAGAATATATTTTGCACCTCAGTGTCACCTAATGCCCAATGACAAGACAGACGGGGGAATCTTGCTGTTTCTGCAAGAACTACACAGAGACCCGCAAGCCCAGTGTTGAGTGCACTGCTGCAGTGGAGGGCTGACTTTGGAGAAACACGTGCTGCTGTTAGAAATAAAAAAGAAAAATAAAAAAAGAGCAAGCTGGAACTGTGGAAGTACCCAAGCTTACATGCCACCCAACAATCCAAACACTACCACCACTGATGCACTCATGGCAACACCCCCACCACAGCAGCATGATGTCAAGTCACAGTGAGGGAAGAGGCTGGGCAGACACGAACTTAAAACCACAAAGGTGAAGGCAGCTACTCAAGGAGGCTTCAAAACAGACAGACAGAAAAAAATCAAAAAACAGTTAGATTTGGCAGGGAAACAAAAATAGAAAGGCACCAGAGGAGGAATCAGCAAAAAAATTAGAGGGAAGGAGATGAACCATTTCAGTACTACCCTTCCGTGACTGCCTGGTTTTGTATGTTTGTTAATTTTTTTTTTGGTTTTACTCTTCATCTCCCTGGTTCTCCCTCCCCACCCACCACTCCCCGTGCACAGGGCTTTGGACAGTCACGGAGTTCCTCAAGTTCTTTGTTCCTGAGGAGAGAGACACAGAGAAGGGAGGCAGAGAGGACGGCAAAGGAGGAAAATAGTGGCCACAGATGTTCTCATACACTACAACCAGAAGGGTGGCAGGTTTGAAGAAACAGAGACAAGGGGTGGGGTGAGTCATCATACTAGGGAAGAAGGGAGGGGGTAGGGAAGGGGCATCGGACTGCCTCTAACGACTACAGTACTACTACTGTAGGGTGCTGGACTCACTCTGAAGGACGCTTATGGTGGCCTGGGCTCGAATCCATGTTATGGAGGGATTTTGCCTCAAGTCATTCCTCTTGGGGTCGTTGCTGGCCCTGCACTCGTAAGTCCCAGAGTCCTCCAAGGTGAGCCGGGTTACTCTCAGCACACTCACGCCGTTTGACCCGTAGGCGGTGTTTACGGTGACACGGCGCTTCCGGGCACCGTCCCACAGCTGTCTGAAAGACTCTGCCCGGTTGACTTCTGCGTACCACCACTGGATCTCTGGCGTGGGGCTCCCGACCACGTCACAGTACAGCTCAAAGGCGTCCCCCGTGAGCTTAGTTTCTGACATGGGCGACTTGACAAACCCAGCTAGAGGGAGGGGGAGCAGGAATGCAGTGACAGGCCAACCAGAAAAAAAAAAAAATCAACAGGTGTTAATAGGAATTTAAACAAAAGAAAAAAGCAAATGAGTTGCAAAGAACAACAAAAAAAAAAGAACAAAAACAAAAAAAGGATTCATTTTCAAACTATAAAGAGACAGTAATAGCAATTCACACAAGCTTTTAGAAGAACCACCCTGGGAAGCTTAGGAAGCAAGGCAGGCTAGCCACAAGCTGGGGCAGCCCCAGTGCTGGCCAGGCAGAAGCAAGCCCACTGGAAAGCATCGAGCATTGGGCCCAGCTGGTAGGGATGACACCAACCCGGTCTCCAAGGAGCCTCTTTCCTCAGAGCACACACCAGCACCTTTCACAGTCAGGCGGCTGAGGAAAGGTAACTCAGAAGTGGCAGTAGACTTGGAGACCCGACCAGGACCTCTCTTTTGGACGAGTGGACAGCTTTTTAGAGGCAGTGTTTTGTGTAAACCTCAACAAGAAGCATTAAGTGACCACTGGTGACTTCTGTTGAGATTCCAAGTCCACACTGCAGCTTAAAGGACAGCGACCTTCTCCCGTGCAGGATTCTCCCCTGAGTTCAGCTCAGTCTTACCCATTTACCCATTTGGGCTCTGGCAGACCAACGGTCCAGTGGCCTGTCATCAGGCAGCCTGTGGCTGAGTGTGACCCTTGGGGACAGAACTAGTCCATCTGGACTTCCTTCCAGAGCGACAGTCACTCTGAGGGTCAGCTCAGGATTGCACCACACATTAACAGCATACCAGCTCACTGCCAGTGAGTTAGGGGAGACACCCTCCCCAAGTCCACACAATTGAAAGAAAACAGTCTTCTAGAAAGACAGCCTTAGCAGAACCATGGTACCTGGCAGGCCACCCCTTCAGAGTTTAGTTACCTGGCTTCTGGAAACCACCTCGAAAAGGAAACTGATGAATTAAGCTCCTCGGTGAAGATCAAACCTCAAGTGGCACGACCTACACTGCCCACTTGTTCATAATCTGCTCGAGGTCACACATCCCAAACAGAGTGTCAACGGCAGAGTTGAAGAGGAAAAAAAATCATGCTTACTTGAAACACTTGGACCCATGGGAAATCACTGTGAAGCACAGGTTCTCATGCCACCAAGGGTTCAGCATTTCCACCAACTCAAGCAGCGATAGGAAAGGGCAGGGCGAGAAGCCAAGGGGACACTCAGAGGCACCTGACAACCTCCTAAGGAAGCCTGGCTTGGGAGCCCAGGAGCCCTGGGAGCAGTGAGCAGGCAGCGGGTCAGAGGAAAGGAAGAAATCAAAAAGCACTTTCCTACAGTAGAAGCTGAAGACGTCCCAAGACTAGCTGAGAATGGAGGCTGCTAGGGAAAAGCCTTTGGTCTACAGCCACAGCAGGAGTTGCCTCTGGAGATAAACCTGAGAGGAATGCCAGCGGAGGTCTACAGTTATTCAGCGGGGGACAAGACCTCCAGATTGCGAGGAATCTTTCAATTCTCGAGATTTTCAAAATCTGGGGAACATAGGAATGCAGTAATTAACAGGCTGAGACTAAATGTTCTGTTTTGAATATTCCATTCTGAACTGCCTCTTCAGATCTAGCATGCATTCCTTGTAAGGAACTATCTAGCAGAGGTCCCAAGAGGCCAAACAGATGTCACTCACAAGTGCAGGAGAAGTTCCAGAATTAGAGAAAGGCGCCTAGAGCCCCCAAGGACAGCTGGGGTGGTGGGGGGGGGGAACAGACAAAAATGCCCCAGGCAGCTTGTCCTAATCAGTTCCCCAACTGCACCTGCTCACCAGTCAGAGTTAACATAAAGGGAGAAGTGAAGGAAGTTGGTTCCACTGTTTTCCTAGTGGCTCAATCACCAAAACAAATTGACTTCTAGGAAGCCCCTATGATACAGAGCCAACAGCACCCATGGTCCAACCTTGCTCTCAACCTTGAAGTAGGTGTCACCAGCCCCTTGCTTCCCTGTGCACATGGGAAGGCAACACTGTCCAATATTGTAATTATGCACGCCAAAATGCCCTACAGGTCTTCCAGTGCCTTTCTGTTTGCATTTGTCTATTCTTCCGAATCGTACTTTGAAGTAGGCCTCAGCCTGTTTACCAATCTGTTGGTCATGCTCATTGTAAAAAAGGATGTTCAGAACCACCAAAAACCCACCCAGTTCCTGTGTAACCCCAAATCCCATCTCCATACAATTCTGAGGGAACACAATTCCTGCTGTGCACGACACGGCGGGACTCTGCCACTCCGATGCAGGTCAATTCCTTACCTGAAGCAAGGAACACGTTCTCTGACTGGAACACTGTATGTGTACTTCCACACACTTAATTTATAAGCAAGACTGAAAAGTCCCTCAAAACACCAACACAGGGCATCTTTCTCAAAAGGTCATCGTTATCACCAGCACTACCTCTTACCAGAGCTGAACATGAACAAGTTTCTATTTTTCTAGGTATGATTCTATGTTAGGCAATGACCTGAGAAGCACTTCACAGTCATTTTCTCATGATATCCCAACAAGTGCCTCATATGATGGCACCGTCAGAGCCCCCTTAAAGCTGTAGCTGTCAACGCCTTAACCAATGGGGTGCTTCTGCCTACAGCCACAAGCTGATGGTGGAAGCCAAAGCACTGTCCCTCACCTGCCACGTGCCTCATGGGGGGGGGGCGGGGATGCGACGATGACAGTTCTTGTCATCACTGAAGAGACACTTTGTCACCACTTCAGTTAACAAATAACTCCTGGTCACAAAAGGCCAGGGCCTGTCCACTGGGATGCGCTCACTAATGCCTGGCAGCATGATCTTACTCAAGAAGGTAGGCAAAGCAGCTCAAAGTCTTCCTGAAGCATCACCTGCACAGGGAGGCAGTGGGAGGCGCGTGACAGGAGAACCAGGGGACCACTAGACAAAGGATGGTGTAAGAAGGGTCCTACTTCTGAAGATTCCGCAAGGTCCCGCTCCTGAGAAGGCTTGAGTAAAGCCGTTTAAAAGGCATCAGATGCGTTTCTGTGGTGAGGCAGGCAGAGGCTAGGCAGCAGCAGAAACGGCTTTAAGCCTTTGCAGCTTGCCATTCCTTCTCCCTCACACAGCTCTCTGAAGCCTGGAGGGCAGAGGTGCAGAGAGGCGCTATAACCTCACAGGTCTTCAGCCTTTTCAACAAACTGTAACGTCTCTAAACCCACCAACCAGAGATCTCTTGACAGCAGAACACTCGTCAACAGCATGAGAACAGATCTAGTTCCCTCCAAACAGTGGCGGGGAAAGGAAAACACCACCCAGGGCACACACACCCTTCTCTACACAGTACTGTGAAATCACAATTAGTAAGGCAAAGTTATTAGCAAGATCCACCTCATTATCCAGCCAAAATTAGTTCCAATTAAGGAGAAGCAGCAGCTCTTGGAAGCAGCCAGCAGGAGGCAGGCAGCTTCCAGCCTGACTCACCACCCAGGGCTTCGAAACAACAGAACACACAGCCACCTCCAGCTTGGGAAGCCTGTTTCAGTCCCAGGTCGAGGCTCAGCCAGTGTCGGAGAAAAAGCCTAAATATGCTAGCAACACTACCTCTGCCGCCATCCTCTCCACTGCCCAACCACTGGGGTTCAGAGTTCGGGGTTAAGGAAGTGTTGGTATGCACATACTCCATTCATTACAGATAATACCAGAGTGCTCAACAGTGGCTACTGGCCATGGGGGAGAGGGACCAGGAGCTGGTGCTGGAGCAGGGTGGCAGGCAGAGATTTAAAATGGAGGCAGCAAACAAACCCCAGAAAAGCTCAATGTGAAATTGCATAACGGGTAGGGGGTGGGGTGGGGATGACAGCTGAGGCTAGCAGCCGGAGAGGAGGTGCTCTGGCAGGAAGGCCGTGTGTGTGTTGATGTGCAGCGGAGGTGAGAAGGGAACAGAGCAGGGAGCCTGATCCCGAACTCTTCCTCCTCGGCCTTGGGGAAAACACAGGCAGCCAGCCCTGCGCAGCATGCACCGTCAGGGCTTCCTACAGCCCAGGTTTCCTCCACCTCCAGGGCAAGCACACAGCACGCCCGAAGACCAAGGGCTCTGCCCACTCAGCCAACTGCTGCCAAGGCCAGGCCTGCTTCTGTCACTTTTGTTCTTCAAGAGCTGTTTCTGTCAAGGCCGCTTCATCACGAACCCCCTGTGGATGGCTCGGTGTTCTGGCCTTCAAGCCTCACAACACAGAAGACATGACAGCCAGAGACATAAAGAGCATTTTTCTCTGTTTTGTCTCACACAAGTTCACATCCTCTATGCCCCCTGCCCAAAAACAAACCCAACATTCAGAGCAAGAGCCAGCGACACTCTCATGTGGTCCCAGGGACTGAGGAAGCCACATCTGAGAGACCGGGCCTGTCCAGGCTACCGTACAGCTCGCCTGACTGGTATCTAAGACACAGATCACCTAACATGAGTCCTGGACTCTAAGGCAGCCCAGAAGTCCAGCCGGCCCATCGACCTGGGGAAGTCTCACCAGCAGACTGACGCCTGGGTCCAGCTCACTGGAGAGACAGCAGCCCTTACAGAGCATCTTCCAAATGCAAACCTTTCACAGCTACTTCACCCAGAAGACAGGACACAAGCCTGAAGACAATGATCATTCCATCCGTGTCCCCAGCCTCTACACCCAGATTCGTCCTTTATTCCGCCACTGTCCCCGCAAGGCTTGAAAGAACCTGTCCAGTAGGTGATCCCCAGCCTTCTGCTCTGCAGATACACCAGGGAAATGGAGCTTGTGACAAGACCCTGCATAGTTGTACTTAGGTCAGAAGGCCTTGGATCACACAAGCCCTTGTCACCAACTGTATGACGCTGGGCAAGTGACCTAACCTCCCTAATCTGTGAAATGGGACTAACAATAACAGCTACCTATAAGGTCACCGAGAGAATCAACCGAGACAGCGTACTTAACAGTACCTGGCACGGTCACACTCAGCAGCCTCTGCTGCTATCACACTGCTC